AAAAAAAAAATGTTCATAATTGTGGTATAAACCTTTTCAAGAAGTCACAACTTCCGAAATGAGATGGACTAAACCATCATACAGGTCAACTTGTCATATTTTTTTAGTCTAACAAGTCACGCCGCGATCAAAGCGTAAAACCATAGCTGATGTACATAACAGTGAGGTGCAATAATATGGTAATTAATCATTTTTTTCCCTGATAAGTGTTCTTATCAGTAAAACAAACTTATATTCTATAAGGTGCAAATGTGCAATAATTTGGTAATTTACCATTCTCTTCCCCGTTTTCTTCTCAGTGAAACATGTTTCTTGTACGCTTCTGCTTAAAGAAAGGCCTCTCCCTCTCAATTGGCTGTCCTGTCTGTTTTATTTAGAATTCTGATTAGCATCACCATTTTGGTTTTCGAGCAGCATAACAATGAGATCCCTCAGCATTCTTCTTGTCTGTTTCATTTTATCAAAAATTTTATGGAGTCACCGGACAATTTTCTTATGCATTCATCCACCACTTAGACCGTCTCCAACCGAGCGGCAAAACGCAAAAAATGGGGGAAAATCTTTCCAATGGTACTGCAAACTCAAACCCAAAATGGGTTTTTGAGTTTCTCTCTCTTGATTTTAACGCATATTTGCGTTCCAGCAAAAAAAAATGCGTTTGTACTTTTATTATTCCATTTCGGTCCTCCTTTTTATTTTTATTATACAAAGGGTTTAAAAAAAAAAAAAAAAGATTGTCTGTGGTATGCGGAAACTAAACTGGTAGGGACATTGGGTGATGTTAAAAGTTAACATAATGTTATGGCATTAAAATTTATATGTATCATGTATCAACATTTTAATTAAAAAATTATAATAAATTGAAATAATATATTTTTTCTATAATATAATATCTATCAGCATTTTATGTATTTGTATATATTTTATATTTAATATTAGTAATTATTGACAAGTTAAATACTGTTTTATATTTTTATATTTTTACATAAAGTCTAAATTGAATTGAAAATAAAAATGTGGTTTAATTTGTAAAGTTGTAAAATATGTGGGTAGTATTGAAAAGTTGTAAAAGTTGATGTAAAAGAGAATATTCCGAGAATATTCTTTTGGGTTGGAAAATAGGTTTTTCGGTTGGAGATGAATTACTGCAAAATGGGATGTGTACTGTAAAATGGGTTTGAGTTTGGTGTATTCGGTTGGAGATGCTCTTAATGTATTGATACTAGGGGTGAGCGTGGGTCGGTACAGTTCGGAAATTGATAAATCTCCAGAACCGTACCAAACTTCGGAGATCCCAAAATTCGATCTCCGGAACCGTACCAAAAATTCGGTTCGGTTTGGTTCGGAGATTTTTATCTTTCGGTTCGGTTCGGTTCGGTATTCGGGACAATTGGGACGGTTCGGTTCGGTATGGTTTGGTTCGGATCTTCGGAGATTTTTTATTTTTTTAAATTATTTTTGAATGACTACCTAGTTATATTTCAATTTTTATATGCTTTAAAAAAACAACATTCATTAATAGTTTATCATATTGAAGATTTTATTTTGAAATCAATTCTAGAAGTAACTCTAAATTTTAGTTAATTAATTTTTATATGTTTTAATAAAACTAACATTCATCACTACTTCCTCACAATAAAGATTTTATTTTGAAATCAACTTTATAAGTAACTCTAAATTTTAGTTAATTAATTTTTATATGTTTTAATAAAACTAACATTCATCACTACTTCCTCACAATAAAGATTTTATTTTGAAATCAACTTTATAAGTAACTCTAAATTTTAGTTATGACTAAAATTTGTGCAACAAATATTGAAAATTTAAAATTCAAATAAAATATAATATTTTTTAAACTTTCATATTATTTTAAATAATTATTTTATAATAGAAGATATTCAATTGTAGATCAAGTATTACCAAGAATGAAATTTAAATGAATGTTAATATTTATTACTTTATTATATAGAATCAAAGTTGATATAAAATATATTAGCAACACATTTAATGTTATAATTCGGTTCTTCAGTTCGGTACAGTACGGTACGGTACGGTTCGGTTCTCGGTACGGATATATGTGAAATCTCCAGAACCGTACCAATTATTTTTGCGGTTCAGTACGGTTCGGAGAAAGTCAAACGGTCAACGATTATTTTTCAGTTCGGAATGATTTCGGCTCAATTTTCGGAACGGTTCAAAATTCTCCGAGTCCCATGCTCAGCCTAATTGACACCGGTCCAAATTGTATTTATTGCAAGACATCTGTCAATACACTATTGATAAATAAGCGTGGATAGTTCCATAAGTCCAACCATCTGATGACTCCATAGCAAAACTATTCATTTTATTTTACTTTTTGTTCTTATTTTTCAGATTTTAGACAAAAATGGTTCTTTTTCCTGATTCTTTTCCCCGGAAGAAAGGTAAAAAACAATAAAATTGAAATACATGTTTTTTCTTTCATCCAATTTTCGCAAGCTACAAGAATCCCACAACAAAGACTGGAGACTATTTATACCATCAAAAAATAGTAACCTTGCTACACTTCTAAGTTCGAAGTCTCCAGTCGCCATTTAACCTGGATGGGAAATAAATAAAAAAATATTTAGGAAATAAACTGAAACTAGAATCTCAATATGAACACCAACATTGATACTGCAAGCCAAAGAAGCCAAAGATATTACCTTGAGATCCAGAAAATTAAGTGTATTATGTACCTCCGCCACTACATATACTTTTTTCCATTTTCATGTCCTCGTCATACACCATATTTTATTATAAGATTAGAAGTCATTACATACACACATTCCTCCTCCCGCAGCACACACACTCGACCACCATATCCATGAGCCAATCAAGAAAAGTGGAAAAAGATGTGCAAATTCAGCACTTCCCAGTTTCAACTCCCCATAAAAAACATAACTCTTTAGTTGGGACGAGCATCACTGCTGCCAGTTGTACTGTTGGTTTCGATTTCCCATGTTCGAACCACGACCACCTCCAGAACTCCCATACGGCCCACCATGCTGGTAGTTCGGGCCTCCTCGAGGGCCCGCACCAGGCATGCCGCTTGAACCGTATGGTGGTGCCCGTCCCTGAGGCGGGTACGGGCCCGACGGTCCGTTTCCGTAGCCACTGCCACCCTGGCCACGGTTTGGGTGGTTGTAGCCCCCAGAGGGATTCCCACCGGGAGGATACCTTCCTGGGCCCGCCGAGGGTCCGCGCGGCTTTCCGTAGTGGTGGCTGGGTACCCCTGCTACCTGAGGCTGCGAGCCATGTGGGGGATGATTTGGGCCGGGTCGTAAATGGGCGTGCGCGTGGCCTGACTGCTGGATGGGTGGGACACGGGAATGATGTTGCTGGTGCTGCAGCTTCTGGCGTTTCGTGTTCTCTTCATGCTGGCGCTGCTGTTGGCGTTTTTTCTTGGTCTGGAACTCGTGCGAAGATTCGTATTTGGGCAAGCTGATGATGGATGAAAGCAGATTTTTTAGGGAATGGTAAAATGAAAAACAAAAAGGAAATTGTTTAGAGATAAATAAAACCTCTTGGGGTCACAAGGTAACGGGTCAGTCCAGAAGTACTCAGCGTCAAGAGCATCCTTGGCTGATATTCTCTTTATTCATAACAAACAATTCTAAAAGATTAAAATAAGGCATTTGAAGAGATTTGAAGGCATTTTTACAAAATAACTTGAGAAGATACCTGAGATGGATCAAGGGTCAGCATACGATCAAGTAAATCCAAAGCGTGGCGATCAAAGCTAATACCAGAATAATTCACATGTCAGATGTATTCACAATTGGAAGGTCTCTAAACATTTAAAAAATGTTAATACATTCAATTGCTTACTGTCTGAAATGCTCTCTAAGGCGCCTTTTCACAAGTCTTGTAGGCTTGAAATTGTTATACCATGGAATCTTAGAGACTCCAGGCCAGATATCCTCATTTGGAGTCCCACAGATGTCAAAAATTTTGTTTAGTTGTTCCGGCTACAAAAGAGCAGAATATCAGTGTTAAAAATAAGATGATAAACACATGTGAGATAAGTGAATCAAAGATCTTGAACAACTAACCCTCTTAAAAACGTATTCATTCATACGCGTATTTGAATCAACAGATCAACAAATTTTATGATCACTATAATGTAAATGGACTTACCTCATCTTTCCCAGGAAAGACAGGCTTTCCATTAAGAAGTTCAGCAAAGATGCAACCAACCGACCACATATCAACAGCAGGACCATATTTCGTGGTCCCAAGCAGCAATTCTGGTGGCCTACAAAATTGATTGTCAGCAGATAACTCAACTTAAATTATTGCTCATACTCGGTGGGCAGATACCCGAGGAAGCCTACCTGTACCATAAAGTAATCACACGATTTGTAAGATTAGCATTCTGATCGCTCGAGAACGATCGAGCTAGACCAAAATCTGCAAGCTTCAGGTTCCCTTCATTATCAATCAGAAGATTTGAACCTGCAACCAAAGAACAAAAAAAAAATTATGATTAGCCTCATAAATGGAGAACAATGTAATCCAAATAATTGCTTTAA